CCTTGGCTGTTAATACTACGTTTGAGATATTCACAGGACAACACTATCAGTGTAGCTATTGCCTTCATTTGACTGGTAGTCCAGAAAGGTAATCAGTCACTTAAAATGTTGTAGAATAACTCTGTCCCAAAGGCTTGTGTTGTCACTGAATATGACCCTTAATTATTGATATATCTACAACTCAGTAAATATTAATAGAGAGCCATATTGTAGTGAGAACAGTGAAACTGGAAAAAGGAGTAACATATAATGAAGGGAAATCTGTGTTTAGAATATGAGCGAGGAAAGACTTGTTAAGGCTTGAGAAGGTAATGCTCCATCTGCTTTTGTGGAAGGTGGCATTAACATTTCCAAAGAGTTTTTCCACTCTAACTGTGTCTGGAAGGGCAGGTTTATAGCATCAATTAGGAATATCTGAAATCAGTTGAAAGGTAGAACTGTATGAATATTTACTATTAAGAACAAAGATCTATCCATAGAGACAGTGCAGGGGTTATGTGTGTCATAGACTTTCCATTGTTTAGAACTTTTGCAAGTTGTTTCTACACAAATACTTTGCTCTAAACTGTAAAGGCATATTTCATCCCTTATAGTGCTTTGGTCTGCTAGAAGGTCTAAACAGAAAACTCCCAAAACAGATCAAGCAAGACCATACAAACCCAGCTGGTCGGGTCCATGTAGCACTGTACACAAATATGCTGCAGCTTTCTTTAAGAAAACATTACTAGCACCAAAGTTCTAAAAGTTGGCAAAGTTATTTGCATATATGATACTGTGTTTCAAGTGACAGAAAAAGATATGAATTACATTGTGCTTGTCTCCTAATATGTTGTCTGGTTCTTTGATCTGTTTGGTCAAAAATAATGAAAGCGTCGTATTATCTTCTGAATTAAAGATATACACACTGCACAACTACTTTGAGATTTCTCTGCTAGTGATCAGTCTTAAATTCAGATGGGGATTATGTGTATAGCTGCTGATAATTAAAACTGAACATCTAATGTCAAATTTTCATATGTTTTTACTATAAAAATCGGTATGCATTTTGTTGGAAAATCAATCATGTGGTAGAGTACTGTGTGGGTATCATAGACTGTTAAACTGGCAGCCTAAATCGTTAAAACATCACCTCTTTTTCCTGGTTTATTTTTTTCCCCGATGATCTTGTATCATATATATAGAGCAATAGATCAGTAAAAAAAATGTTGCAGCGTGGGTAACAAAACATTACTTCAGAATCTGGGGTGTTTCTTTTATCTCCTAGGACCAAAAAATGCTGCAAATCAGAAAAAGTATGTCATTACTGATAGCTATTAAGTAGATAGGATTTTTTTCTAAGAGGAGCATTTTGGTTTAGATGCCTGACTTGGCTTGCCATAGCACCTTTTCTTCATTATGTGTGTATCTGGTTTGAATAGTAGTGGGCAGAAAAGATTTCATGACTACAAAGTGCAGGCCCAGTGTAAAACAGCTCTGACAGCTGTCATTCCCATAAGCAGCAGTAGTTGCTTCCCAGAAATGCTGATATGAAGTTGATACATGCATATTGCAGATCCTCAACTGATGCAACTCCCCTTTCTTTAGTGAAGTGATGCTTTTTTTACGCCCAGGGAATATTGGAGAGCTTGTGTTGCAGGGGACTGTGGCACTGGGTCGCTCTGTTCCTGAGTATTTTTGCCCTTACTTCCACTGTCAGTCTGTCCCTCAAAACTTTTCCTCTGCAAGTTACAGTTTTGTTTTCTGTCTCCGCTTTTTTCTCCTCTGATCTGCAAGGAGTGCTAAACCTCATTTGTAACTCTTCCCCTTACCACAGTTTGCCAAAATGAATCCATTTGAACTACCTTCCTGCTCATATCTGTTTTCTGAAAGATTTTCATCACTGCCTGGATGGTGTGTTCTTAAAATTCAGCCCAAGGAACCAGTTCTTCAGGTAGCATTTTGGGGACCATATATTACAAAATGCATAAGCAATAAATCTCTTCTTGTGATTCACAACAGTGGCAGTGTATACTACCCTCTGAATCAATTACAGATTTCATCAGTCCCACTTTATACCTACTTCTGAATTTGTTTTAAAATAGCTCTCATTTAATAAATGTATAAGGGGTATGATAATTTGTCATTGCGCTAGTTTTATCTGTCTCCAGAAGTGAGATCTAGCTTGAGTTATTAAAAGTACAAGTGTTTCATTAAAAAAAGCACATTTATTCCTAGCAGCCTGACAAAATTAGGACCTCCTCCGAACGCTTACTCGGGCTTCAAGACTTTATGCTTCGGTATATGGGAAAAAAAGCTTCAGAATTATTCCTGTGTAATGTTAAAATTTTTGAGAGATTAATCTCTCACAACTTTGTCTTAGGCATGGGGGCATAACTGCCTTTAATGAGTATTATAATGATATTTTCAAAAAAATAGCAGTCTAAACCATAAGTGTTAAAAATAGTCAAAAGTTTAGGAAGGTGATATTTCATAATGGCAAGTTCCCCCTTAAGATCTATCAGGTAAATGATGCACATATTTCAAGCTGTCTTAGTAGGTACTTTTACAGAACAACCTGGTGGACATCTATTGGAAAAGGATAAAAAAAAAAATATAAAAAAAATTTGACACCCCGCCTCCCAGACTGTTTTCTTTTTTTTCTTTTTTTTTTTACACTGCAACAGTGAACTACATGTCTCTCAGTATATTCTTAAGATAAAGTTTTACAGTAGTGCTTGGTATCAACCCTTTAGCTGTTTTCAGTTCCCACAGTTTTATATCCAGAGGTTTGGAAGAAGGATTTCTACTGCTTGTGATAGCACGTTTTCCATTATTCAAATAACAGCAGAGTTTATTGAATGCTGAAGGCAAGCTAACAGCAGAAATGAGGCTGAAAAGCCAAGGTTAAAATATTTTTGGCCTGTATTTTTGTGCATTATCCCTCAATGTTTTTCCTGTGGATTTTTAGTAAACAAAATAGAAAAACTCCGTAATTTCTGGTATAATTTGAGAAGGCTACATTAACTTTTTTCCAATATTTTAGAAGAGTTTGGGATGAAGGGGCTGTAGATCAGTTGATCTAACTTTTATACTGGGGAGGCTGGTAGAAATGATATCAAGAAGCAAAATTGCAAGATACCTGCATACATTTGTTGTAGTGAAGCGCTGGGAGGTGTCACCGTGGCTTTCAAAATTACATCTCAGAAATCTGTTCAAGTTCTCTGAAGGGCTTACTGAGCATTTGATCAAGGGAGATTTGTAAATTCAGTGTACTTGGATTTTCAGTAAATTCTTCTTAAGGTCATTTGACAAAAACTCTCAAAGAAGCAAAACTGTCCTGAATAGAAAGGAAATTTATCTTGTTAATTTAAAAACTGGTGAAATGATAGGAATAAAATGTCACTCTTAGAATGAAGAAATTATCATCTGAGTCCCATAGTGATCTGTGTTGAGACCTAAGTTATAAAAACGACCTTGGAAATTGGAGATGACAATGAGGGGATAAGTTTGCTGATCATAATAATTAGCCAGGGCACTAAAAGTGAAGGCTGCATGTGACGAATTACCGGAAAAGATTTCAGTCACAACAGTTGGCTAGACGATGTGGCAGGTGAAAGTCAGTGCAAATGAATGTAAAGTAATGCACGTGAGAAAAATGGTCCTAATTATACAGAGATAATAATGAGTATAAACGAGTTCTTATTGCTCAAGAAAGAAATCTTGGAGTCACTGTGGTCACATTTCTGAAAATCTCTGTATAGGAGTGCTAAAAATGCTAATCTAATGAAAAGAATAAACCGGAAAGCACTACTATGCCGTCATATACCTCCATTGTGTATCTCTTTCTTCAATACTCATGTTGTAGCTTAAAAGGTGCTCAGAATGATGGTAAATGTAATCAAAGAAATGGAATGACTGTAAGAGGGAAGAGTCAATAGAGCAGGAGTCTTCAGCTTTGCAGGTAAAATACGATATAAAAGGGAACCTGTAACATGACAGCTGGTTTAAAGAAGGTGAATGTGTAGTCAGTGTTTATTTTTAATCACAGCATTAGAATTAGAAGCATCAAATGAAACGAAGTAAGGTATTTAAGACCTCATAATAGTTTTTCACAGAATGCATAATTAAATTTTGGAACTCACTGACATAAGAGATTGTGGGTGCCAAAGGTTTGCATGTGTTCAAAAATTAATTAGTCATGGAAAAAAACTCCATCAATGCTTGTTAAGTACAAAGTTTTGTCTCAGAGATCCTGAGCCACAGGCTAGGTCTGGGAGAGTTTAATAGGAGAATCACTTTAGATACTTTTTCTTATTATTTTCTTTTTATTAAGAATCCCCTAGTAGTTGTTGTATACATGTTACTGAACCAGATGGACTTTGTGTCTGAAGCTGTATGTCCATGCTTAAATGAAATAGAACTATACTAATTTGTATCTGAAGATTTGGTCAAAATATCTGAGTTGAACTCTGTTTTTTTTCATTTATATAACATATCAAAGATCCCAAGAGATAGTGAATGTGTTAAAGTGTTTATACTGAGTCAGAAGAGACAAATTTGTGATGCTTAAATAATAATTTATATGTAAAAAATGGTATGGACTTAGGAAATAAGAAAATATTATTTCCTGAAGCTACTTTTATTCTATTTTGGAAGCAGTTGACTGGGCTTAAGTTATTTTACTGATAAACTCATAAATAGACTACGGAAAGTATGAAGGTAATTTTTGGAACCCGTATTTACTTTCCTATGGAAGACAGCTACTTCATATCTCCTTTTCTTTTGATAGTGTATTTAATACATGACCACTTCATCTATGATGTGTCAGAAAATGGTGTAAAATAAAAATATGAATGTTTTCAAACAGAATTTTTTGTTCATATGTATTTTAATGTAAAAATCAACATTTACTACTTAATCTGTCTTTCCAAACATAGTTAAATTATTTTGCTGTGTACCTTGTCAAATCTTCACCTACATCTTTGCCAAAAACTACCGTTTGTTTTTATTCCTTGTAACAGTGGCGCCCAGTTGGTCACTTCAAGGGGGGATACCACAGTGCAGATACAGGACTTTTCAAAACGTTGCTGCATTCTGACTTTAGGAGGACATGCCCAGGCTGTATGGGACTGCTCATGGCATTCATGTGGTGATTTCATGGCTTCTGCCTCCATGGACAATACAAGCAAAATATCGGATATTAACAGGTATGGAGTTACTGGAGATTCTTTATTAGCTGATTGACAGCTTTATTTAATAACTAGTTTATGTTTTAGCCCAATGAGAGATGTCTAGCATCAATTTGTGGACTTCCCTTTAAGAGCATAGATAAATTGAGTGGTGCAAAAAACAGGCTTTGATGTGATTTACTAGACACAGGTTTTACTAAATAGGGAGGTGGGAAGGACTTAATTTTAGATAATGCCAAAAAAAAGTGTTTGATTTTATTTGGCATCTATTATTCTGTGTTGCTGGGTTTTTTTAAGGTCAGAGCTTTGTGGAACTTCAATGTGTAATTTAAATAAGTAATTAAACAAAAATTCAAGTAAGTTTTCTGTAGAGTATTTTTTGCACATGAGTATACCGCACACTTTAATTTAAGATTGGACAAGTGGAAATTAATTTTTTTCATTATATATGTTTTGGAAAGGTGACTCCTGATTAATAAATCAACACATACCTCTTCATTTTATTATCCAGGTGAATGTTTTTTTATTAAAGTGCTTCTAGAATATTAGCATAGTCCTGCTTACTAATTAATTATTCATTCCTCAACTTTCTTCAGTTATATTTGAGGTGACATATTTTGATTAATTTACACCTTAAAAGAACGGAATAGTTTTATTGTTTTTTCCAAACTGTTCCTGCTAGACTCCTGAATGACCTAGGAGTAGTGTTACTAACACCACTGTATTCTGAACAGCTGAATGTCATCAGTCCACAGACTTGTCTCCAGTCTTAGAGGTGTTTTCCCTGGTTCTTTCTTATCCAGTCTTAATGGATTTTCCCATTTCCTCCCAGTCTTTTTCTTGAAGGAGATGAAATATTCCTTCAAGCTTGTTGGCCACTGCAGGAAATGAAACTTCAGTGAAAAAGCAAGGAGGACTTTCTCCTTTTGTTAGTTTTACCTAGATCAATCCCAGTCTGCTGCTATTTCAGGGAGCCCTGCAACTGAGACCTAGAGACTATTTTAGGAGTGTGCCTGGTAAAGCAGGAGTGTTGAGGGGTTTTGCTGTAAAAGTGAAGTACTTCTCTGATACGCATGTGTGAGCTGAGATTTTTCAAACTGTTGTAATTCAGCCAGATTTTTTTGAGAGCTAATTAAAACTCTATCACTATCAGATTTTCAGTCTTGCTTTCAAACTGTGAATTGAGGAAGCATTAAAGAATAATAAAAACATTGTTTTCAAAATGGGATAAGCAACATATCCTTTCATTAATTATTCCAAATTATTTTGGCTAAGCTGAGAGTAGCTGCTTAAAACAGAATCTTGAAACAAATATTCAATTTTTATAAAATCATAGACAAAGCAGTTATAGTTTGGCAAAGTTTAAGACAACTGAGAAGTGGGTTTTGTAACAGAAATTGTCAGCCAGTTCTGATAACAGATGATGCTTCCACTATTACTATCAGTAATAAGAATTTATGGTCAGTGTTTTGCTTAGAAATGAAAACACTGGAAATCTACTGTATCGGTCCCTCTTTTCTTCACCTGTTGTAGGTTTTTAATACTTTGATCATCCTTTATGGCATATTCATGACCTTTAAGAAATAATACAAAGAATAGCTTTAATTTTTTGTCAGAATGGTTTTGAATTTGTATAGACAAAGGTTTTGTTTAGACACTTTAAAATATCTTCTCTACCGAGGAAGCTTTTGTAGTCAGAGGAATCAAAGCAAATCTTCATCACCAACCCATGCCTCCCACTCACACTCATTATCAACTCCCATTTCTACCTTCAGTGTATCTGATGTACATTTTGCATTTGAAAAGAAGAGAGTAAGGAGCACAACCATGATGTGAAAGGCTAGTTATCGACCTAGAATTATTGAAACCTTAAGTCATGCAAAAACCTCAATGGCTAATGGAAGCAGAACGTGGCACAAAAATGTGGCATAGTGTGCTTAAAATAGGAGTATTCAGAGTATGAAACAAAAAAAGCCTCATTTGCAGACCTCACTGGTGGACTTTCAGTCTGTTCACAATAAAAGCCCATGTGTTCATTTATGTTACATTAGCTAAGTCCAAGAGACAACTGAGTTCTGTTTAGCTAGTTGTGTTTAGATGAATTTGTGAGACGTGCTGTAGAAGTGTATGTGGTGTATGCGCTTAGGATAAAATGTCAGCTGCAATTGATCCTTATGCCCATGTTGACTGATTCACGTGCAAAATCAACCTGTGAAGAATATACGGCAAGATGTGGAAATAAGGGAAAGCTATTGACAGATTAATCAGACTGGTAGTTTCCAGTCTGGATTGTTAATTTGCTGATGCTTATACACACAAATGTTACGCAAAAGAACCTGCAATGTGTTTTGGCTTGGCAATACCAATTGCCAAGTTCATTGGCTGAGTCTGGCAACACGAATCCTAGATGTTTCCCAGATTGTCACCTGTAAGTTTGTTACGTGCTTGTAGTTCTCTGATATGAATGAAGCCAGCTGTGCTAGGTACCATATACACATGTGACCTCCTTCAGACTTCTTAATGCTTTCTGCTGGGAGAACTGGCTGCTTTTAAAGAAAATTAAAAAGAAAATGGCATGATACTGGGGGGGGAGAAAGATAACTAATGTGTGTGACATGGTTAGAAAAATTTAAAAAACCAGAGGCTGCAAAACCCATGCATAACTTCTATCTTCAAGGTTGTCCGATCTTCCTAATGATTAGAGGAAGCAGCTCGAACATGAAGTGCGGGAAGAAAGGAAGAGACTTACAATTTGTGAACAGGTTTTTATTCAGCATGTAGCTCAGATTGAAAATATATAGTCAGCCATGTTAATGTCTCAGCAAACAGTTCCAGGATTGTTTTCTTAGACCATAAATTCAGAACTGTCAAAGTCATTTTGGCAGGATTAATTTCAATTATCCAACTGTAAATATTGTTAGAGATTTACAGCTTGATCTCTGATATGCAAATCAAACTGAACATCATATGTGTCATGTAAACACAGACGGTTATTTAGTTTTGCAAACATATGCTGTAGAATGTATGTTAAATGCAAACATTTTTATTTATGCTTGAAGCTTGAGAAATTATTTTCACCAGTCAGCATGTTCAGAATTTCTTTTTCTCCAGTTTATCCATTATATAGTCATTGGACCAGTTCTCCATTTATCTCTGGTTTCTCAGTAGTGCAAAATAGGGTGGAATTAGGCCACAGAGAAGTGCAAATCTGTACTGTCCTGAAGCAGAAGTCAGGGTGAATAAATATCTGCTAATTGGAGCCATTGCTGCCTTCTGTTTGCTCTTTTTGACACAGCACTTATTTGTTTTCCTTTTCATTTAACACAGTAACTTTTGTCTAGCTCCATGAAATTTCTCCCATAATCAAAATTTTATTTTAAAATTCTAAAAAGTGTAATTGTTTACATCAGTCCCGAGTCATTACTAGTATCCTTTGGTGCATTTGTTCAGGTGCAAATTAAAAAACTAACTAATCTATCATGATCACTGTTAATTAAGCTGTATAGCCACTTATACAAGTGGCTTATAAGTATCTTTTACTTATTTCCAAATACACGCAGAAATAATTGTTGACACCTTTTGCTTTTCTACAAGAAGATCAGGAATTTTCACTTCTTTACCTAGTGTCAGATGTATATGACAGAAATTAATTCCTAGTTTATTTAAATAACTCCTTCTTTTGTTCTTAAGCCAACATTGAGATTCTTAGCTTCTGTTACAACTTCTCTCCACTTGATAACTGCTGATTATAGTTTTATTTCTTCTCGTAAGAAAGTGTTTTAATTTTTTGAAATTTAGGGTGAGCAGGAATGGGTTTTTTAATTGGAAGCACCTAATCAATTATAGCTTTCCTTGGAATGATAACATGCAATGATGACACTGCACATATTTTATTATTAACACATATTGACAGTGTGCAGTGCAAGAGATGATTGAGTTTATTTTAAACTGCTGTTATAGTTTTGGTTGGTTTTTTTTTGCTTTAGTTTCATTAAAGAAGTTCGTTAATGTTGCTTAAATTGCCAAGCTGACTAGTCAAACTACTTGCTTTGTACCATCAGAGCAATGTGGAAAGGCACAGAATTTAGCCTAACTTATCCTGGCATCTTTCACATTCATACTCTGTTTCTTTTTCTTCCTTTTCCCTTAGGCATTGGACAGCTTTTAAAGGAAATATTTAGTATCAGACTTGTAGTTAGATTTGTATCAGGACTTTCCCTGATACAGATACATTTGGTGTGGTTAAAAAATAAAATCTCCTTTGAAGTCATAAAGATTGTTGAGTTTCAAAATGCAACCATATTTTCACATTTTGAATCAGAATGAGGGCGTGTAACCAGTCCTTGTCAAAATTCCCCTTTTCAGGTGACACTTATCCAACTCACTTTTCAGTGGGACAGAAGCCACAAGCTGTTCTGGCCAGATATCATGTTTAATTCATTCCCGTAAAAGTGAATCTATTTTCAGAATAGACAAATGTCCTCCTGGAAATTAGAAGGCCAGTAGAAGAACTCAAAGGAACTGTGGAAGGACCATCTTTGGGTAGTTCGTAATGTCTGTCCTGACAGCACATCAGGAAATACTTGCTGTTTTGATAAAGGAGAATTCCCTTTGGAATCCTCTGAGGAGTACTAGAGAGACAACCTGCTATCAATCTCTCAAATCAAAATGAGGCCTATGACCAAGTCTCCAAATTTATAATTATGCTGGAGTTCCATAACACATTTTGCAGCACCAAAGAAAGTCTAAAACCTAGTTGTTGTAATTCCCAGAGAGCCAATTGTAAAAATCGATCTGAAGATGTGAATTATCAGGGAAAGAATGATATCCAAAGCGTAGCTGTTCGGTTAAGGGGAAGATAAGGCTTAATCTTAATAATACTGAAAAAGATGACTCTTCAAGTACAAAACTTAAACAAGAAGAGTAGTTTTAACTCCACATTGTAAACTTATTTAAGTCGTGTTACAGAATTAGTACAAGACAACAGGCATTAATAATGAGAAATCTTTAATATGGTT